CCTGTGGTTGATGTGTACGTACAGCTGCTGGTGATCTGTTTGTGGACCAGCTGGAAGACATTGTTGGCGGCATCAAGATGAGCAAGCAGAAGGCAGATGCTAAGCATGCACGAGAGCAGGAGCAACGCGACGCCCTTAGGTATTTCAGATGTCAGGGTGTTGCGATGTTTGATGTATGCCATCTCATACCCAAAACTCTTCCACGCTCTTGGAGCTCATGTACACACACACACACACACACACACACACACACACACACACACACACACACACACACACACACACACACACACACAAGGGAGCAATATCTTCGACTCGTGGACAAGGAACGCTTGTACTACAAGACCGTGCGCGATTACGAGCAGGTGCACACCACTCCCATATGTACACACCCTGCAAGTGCATGTTTCATCGTACCGAGCACGGGTTTGTTGCATGTTGATGCGAAGCGAAACAACATGACCCCTCACCTTGGTCACCTCCATCGCCAACGCGCTGCCCCATTGCGTCTTGCAGGAAATGGTGCGCAATGAGAAGTTGACCAACAAGCTGAAGAAGAAAGAAGGCGCAGCCCACAAGTAGACGGTGATTGGCGAGGACGTATTCGCCTGTTACACGCGCGCGTCGAACATGTGTGTGTGTGTGTGTGTGCGTCGAAGTAAACGCGTTGAGATGACACAACGTCAGCCAGGCAGTGTGTGTGTGTGTGTGTGTGAAGCAAAGCAACGCTGAAGACAAGCAACAAGAGAGCAACAAGAGGGAGGGGAGATGAGCCAACACACGCCACCACCTCTTCACCCCACGAAGTGGAAGCAAGCATGCCAGCAAGCAAGGAAGAAGAAGAAGAAGAGGTAAACCGAACCAAGCCAAAGCAACAAGAGAAGGGAGAAGAGGGAAGTGAAGGAGAGACAGCAAGCGCCACAGCAGCCAGCCACATGGAGAGAGAGAGAGAAAAAAAAATGGAAGGGAGAGCAACATCACCCGTGATTCCCGCCTGGTCACCCACGGCAGTACTGAACGGGCCCAAACGGGCTTAGCTTCCGCGATCGGACGAGAGCGGGCGTGATCCCGTTGGTATGAACGTTGCCGACAGTGGAGCAAGACAAGCAATTTATCAACGCAGAGCCAGCAAGCAAAGAAGAGGAAGAGGAAGAGGAAAATCCCACACACACCAAAAAACCAGCAAGCAGACAGAAACGAGCAAACAACCGATTCTGCTTTCCAACCAACCAACCAATCCACTTGCCGTTGCTTGCTTCATTCTTCTTCTGCGCAGCAGCTGTGTGTGTGCGTGGTGCTGGTGGTGGGAATGGTGATGGTGATCATGGTCGTCGTCGCTGCTGACAGGCAGGTGAGATGAGTTGAGGTGAAGTGAGATGAAGGAGAGGTGAGGTGATGTGAGGTGAGGAGGTGGGAACGTGTCATTGGTTCGTGCACACACACACACACACACACACATTGGTGGTTGTGCGTGCCACGTTCCTTCCTTCCTTCCTTCTCTTCTCTTCCTTCCTTCCCTTCGTCGTCCTTCTCGCTGACGCATTCAAACACACGCACGCACACGCACACATGTGCAGGGAGGGTGTGCGCACCGTCTCTCTCCCCTTCTCTCCCCTTCCTTCCTTCCATCCATCCTTCCATCGTTGTCCATTTTCTTCTCCTGTGATGAACCACGCACAACCAACCAACCAACCAACCAACGACCACATGAATGACCCATCCATCGACAGGTGAGGGTGAGATTGAGTGCACTCACTCCTTCCACCCACTTCGTGCTCCTCCCCTTCCCCTTCTTCCCCTTGCACACTGCGCACAACAACAACAACCACCACCACCACCATCAACAACAACACCAACACAGCGTACGCTGTCATCGTGCACACACACACATGTGGACCACCATCAATCCATCCATCCATGCATGGGTGGGTGAATCACAACCAACTCACTACTGCATGTGGCGCTCACAAATGCACACTCACACACACTTGCTCACCGTTGTGTGGTGACAGAAGAACTGCTATCAGCCACCGTCATGCAGCGGCGGCCCTGAGAATGGATCATGCAACCTCTCAACCAGTGAGCAGCACACACATGAGAGAGGGCGGGGGAAATGACATTCACCAGCATCACAGCCAATGTGTATGTGTGTGTGTGTGTGCACGGTGTTGTGTTTCTTCTCATCCTCCTTCCTCTCTGCTCTGTCTGTCTGTGACACGCTGCTCACTGCTGCTGCTGCTGTTGTTGCTTGTTTGTGGTGGTGCGTGCAAATAGATGTATTCCATCATCATCATCAGCAGCAGCAACAGCAGGTGCTGGCTGATGCGTGAGGCAGTGGGCAGCTCCCACCAACCAACCAACAAATGACTGCATGCTGATGGATGAATGGTAATCGAACCACTGCATCACCCAGACAAGTGTGCATGTGTGTCTCAACGTGCGTGTTCTCTTCTCCACCCACCCACACGCCATCATCACCGCCTCCTCATTTTCTCATGTGTGTTTGCTGACATCCTTCCCTCCTTCACCCAACACCACCACCAATACCACCTTCCTCGTTTGTTTCCCCCTTCCTTCTTTCTGCTGTCGCCACACAGAGGGCCCTTGAGCCAGCAGCTGTTGTGGTGGGATGAACAGACGGACGCTGCCATGTAATGACCATTCAGCCACGCTAATGCGGCTGTGGAAGCAGCAACACCAACACACACCACAAAGCGAGCAAGCGATGAGCAACGTGAGTGCATCATTGCACGTGTGTGACGAGCACAGCGCCAGCGTGCGTGTTTTGTGGTCGCTGTCTCTGCTGCTCCTGTCTCCCCTTGTTGTCCCACATCAATGTGCATGCATGTGTGTGGTGCGGCTGCCTGTTTTGCCTTGCTTGATGCGTTGTCTCATTCGTCGTTCTCACACACAACCACCTGCACACCTGCACATTCTCCACCTTGCAGCCGCTGCTTAAATTCCCCTCTCTTTCTCGCCCTCCCCTGACGGCCATCACAACAACAACAGCAGCAGCAGCAGCCAACACACCCTCCACCGCCGATGCAGCAGCAGCAGAGAATGCACCACCACCACCACTTGCTGCTGAACACATTCCCCAGCCAACCAACCAACCAACCAACCCATCGCCCACTGCTGCTGGCGGAAGCTGGCTGGCTGGCTGTTTGCAGCTGGGAACAGGTGGCGACAGCACAAGTTGCATTTTCGGCTGGAAGCAGCAGCAGCAGCAGGTGAGGGCGTGAAGAAGAGGGGAAACGGAGAGGAGATGTTTGTTGGCTGGTTGGATGGATGGATGAGGTGGGGTGGGGGATGTTGGGTGAGTGTCGTGTGGTGTGGTGTGGCTGGCTGGCTGGTGACAGAGGACGGTGGTGTGTGGTGGTGTGAGGAAGAGGGATGGATGGAATGGATGGGGTGCAGCATGTCTTGTTCCTTCCCTTCTGTTTTCTGTTTTCTCTCTCTACTCTTTCTTCTTCACACACATGCATGCACAACACCAGCAGTGGCATCAGCAGCAGTGTGACTGCGCACCTACCCATGCTCCCTCTTCTCTCCCACTCACTCACCATGCTGGTGCTCGCACACAAACACACTTGCAGGCGATGCGCACGCACAGGCAACAGGATGAGGGAAATGTCGAGGCTACTTGCCACGCGTGCCAGTTGCACTCGCCTCACACATGGTATGTGGGTGGGGATCGGTGTTTGGTTGGGTGTGTGATGAGTGATTGGGCTGTGGTGGTGATGGGATGTGGTGAAGTGAACAAGGGAAGAGGGGTTGATGGGGGATGATGGTCACATACACTAACACACGCACACGTGGTGCGTGCGATGTCAATCACTTCTTCTGCTGTGCTGACGTGATGGCTTGCTCTGTTCCTGTTGTGTTCTGTTCCCATCCACGTTCCCTGCAACCACACACACACACACACACACACACACACACATGCACAGGTGGTGAGGTACCAGCACACATCACTTGGAAGCGGGCTCGCATGCCGGCTGCTGCAGCTGCAACCACCGTGATTCGGCTGTCGCTGCTGTGTTCATGCAGTGTTCCCATATGTGAGCGAGGTGAGCCCATCATGCATGCTTTGGTTGGCACATGGTGGATGTGTTGCTGTTACTGCTGCTGCTGTGCCTGGTGTATCAGCGTAGCTGCGCCGCTCACATGCCATGTGTGTGTATGTGTATGCAGGGGGGGCGACTGCCTGAGGATCGTTGGAAGATGATGGGCGGTGCACACGTGATGGAATGGGAGGAGCAGCTGTGGACACACACACACGTCCATGGTCATGGTGGCCACATCCTATCACAGCGACGCAGTCAGTCGCAGATGTGTGTGTGTGTGTGTGTGCGTGTGTGTGTGTGTGAGGAGGAGGAGGAGGAAAGCAGAGGAGGGTCAGGAAGGTGAATACGCCTGCTGTGCTCACATGCCATGCCTGTGTCTTGTGTGTGATGATATCGTTGTGTCTTGTCGTTGTATGTTGGTTGCATGGGCACCAGGGCCACATCAGAGGAGGGGGAAGAAAGCCGCCATGAACGACACATCATCATCATCATCATCATCATCAACCTTCCCCATTTCGCTCTCCTTTCTCTCCTCTTCCACCTAAGCTCCGCTGTCATCGTCATCTCCATTGCCATCGACCGCACAGCCGCCATCACACTCCGGCCGACACCAGCTCCAATCTGGCGTGAGGCAGACATTGCACATGTCACTCGCTCTGATGAGGAGGTGAGCATGTGTGTGTGTGAGTGTGTGTGTAGGTGTGTGTGTGTGTGAGTACCTGGGAAGCAAAAAGTCACCGCAGGAACAGAAATAAGGTTAGAGTGAGTGTGAAGACGCGACGGTGAGAAGGCCATGCACTAGATTCCTCGCATCTTGGGTCTGTGTACCCTCTTCTTACAGGATTGAGTGTGAGGGGCCGCGCGCCGGGTAATGGGGGGGACTTAACCTGGAAATTTACTGCAACCAACCAGCCAAGGAGGATTATGAACAAA